ACTAATTTATGTTTTCAATTAAATTTAAATACTACATAAATTTGTTTTCTTTTGCTCTATCTCTATCTTGAAGAAAGCATAGACAATTTTGAAATATTTGTGATTTATGCTAAATATTAGTAACATCTGAAATTGAAAGAAAAGTTTAGGCGGATTAGCTAGAGCTATATGTACATACATATGTATTTCTTTAAACAGTTATAGATGTATGTATATATTCTATATAGATATTGTGACATTATCTGAGTATTATATCTCTATAAACCATTTATAATAGAGATAGAAGCGTATTTCCTGATATTCGATATATAAAATTCTTGATAGAGATAGGGAGAGAGTATTATGATTATATTTGCCATAAAAAATACTTGAGAGATGCAAATTAAGATTTCTAATTTTAATTTGATACCACGTACAACTTTTGATAGTGGGAGATTTGATAATATTAGACATATAACATTCTGGAGAGAGATAAGTAATGGGAGGGAGAAAATATAGAGAAATATATACATACAAAGATGGAGTTTCCTTTTTATACAGAGAGAGAGAGAGGAATATGGACAAACCGATCACAATTTATGGTGGGATTATCAACTTCTAAATCATTTTAATATTAGCCTTATATATTTAGTTTTATTTTATTAAATATTATTATAATAACTTTTATTATCTTTGTGCATGCATTTGTTTTTTCTCAACAGGTCCATATTGTACGCTTCGCCATTTTCTAGTTTTCGATTGCATTGTAATATAGAATCTGAATTCTATAACAGCTTTATGCCAAAAACTCCGACGCATTGCCGCTGCCGCCGTTGTTGCTGCGTTGCATTCCATATGAGCAGGTACCTGTCTTGCCCTGCCTCAGCCTCTGGCTCTTTATCAGCGCATGTGTGTGAGAGAGTGTCTCTCTGTGTGTATGTGTATCTGCATCTGTGTGATCGTTTCGTGTTGGTGCTTGTAGCTACCTGCGTCTGCGTCGACGCATAGCAATCCCGGTTTCCAAGAAAATATTAACGATATCTCCCAAAACGTTGCCGCACACAAACGCAAACGTCTGAGGCAAATCCAAGCCCCGAAGGCAGCTCGCGTTGCAGGCAGCAGCCAAAAAGAAACCCGCTGGGATGCACAAAAGCCGAGCCACAATAGCGGGCCACGCATTGTTATTGATACTAGGAAAGCAATGCAGCACGCACACAGAGAGAAAGACTCACACACACGCACATTGCAGTCCCTTAAAAAAGGAAAGCCAAACGCCGCCGTCTTTAAAAAAAAAGGGATCTCTAGCATTGGGAATTGGGAAAATCTGCGCCGCTACCTGCACGGGAAAACACACATGAACACACACACACACACATAGAGCATAACAGACACCCGCATAGCAGCGCACCCTCGAGATCATGTCGAAGTGAGAGAGAGAGCGAGCAAACGGTAAAAAGAAAATATGCCTACGCTGATTTCTCATGCCCATTGTCTAGAGAGGCTAGAAGGGACGCGTACAGTCACTCACAGCTATTATCCTGCATAAGAGAGAGGGAGCAAGATGGAGGGAGAAGGAGAGGAATAGGAATAGGCTGAGAGAGAGCGCAGACAGTGTGTAAGAACAAGGCGTGCTTTCTTTGAGTTATGCCAGCTACGGCTACACACTCTCTCTCGTCCTCTCCCTCTCCCTCACATCCTCTCTCTCTCGCACTGCATGGCTGTCTACCTGCCAAACCGGTTGGCGAAAAAAAGGGCCAGGGCCAATCTGTGGAAGTGCCAGCGGCTGGGGACGTGCCGAGGCGCAAAATAATCTGTTCGTTGGAACTCGCTCTCCGTAAGAAAAATATATGTGAAGAAGATAATAATCGATTGGTTTTTGGCTGCCTCTTTGTGCGTTTCGCACACTGTGATCATCATTAGCTGCAGCACAGGTAGGCAGCAGCAACAGCAGCATCAACATCATCATCACCATCATCATCTGCGGAAAAGGTGCAACACGCAATAGACTTTGCTGGGCGAGCTGTGCCCACAGAGGGGAGCCCACGCAACAAGTGCAAATCAGGCGACCGCGACCCCAATGCCAACTCTCTTCTGCAGGGCGAGCCCAATAACTGGTAACCACAAGACTCTACACACACAGACACACACATACACGTGCAAAGATGTGCATAAATATCTGTACTTGTCACGTACACACATACATACACACTACATTATTATATATGACAAGGAATATGCGTGCTTACGCACAAACAAATTGCTTTATTGGCTCTAAAGACTGTATTTTCGACTTATGGGCGTTACTTTTTGGACTCTGCACAAAATTTACAGATCATCAATTTAATAATTATTTAGAGAATTACTGAGAAATGTTCAGTTAGCTGTGTTTGTTAAACAAGGGATCTAGATGTTATAGAAATGAGTATATTCTTAAAAATCCAAAAGAAATGATTCTTACAGAAAACTGAATAAACATATTTCAAATCTCTTTACTTACCTTAAGCTCTAATTACGCAATTATAATTTAGCTCCTTAATCTATTCATAATTAACTCAGTTAAATAATTCTATACAATATATGTATTTAATTGATTAATTGAATATAGCTGATCTAGTTGCAGATACAAGCATGTAAACAAATGAGTCCAACAAACAAACAAAAGATGCCGCTATACCATCTAATTGATGTAATCGAAATCTGGTTTCAATTTGTATTTGGTTAACCCGCATGCGCCGCATGGAGCACAGAACACAGTACGCAGCCTCGTCCAGGGTTAAGCGACTCTGATAACAAATTGTGGGAAGGGAGGGAAAAGAGAGAACGCAATTCAAAAAGGGGAGCTTAACACACAATGAGTGTAACGGATCGTATTAAGATTTGATGTGATGGCAGCTAACATACATACATATATATGTATGTACATATATATGTGTATATACATACATACATACTACACAGGCTTTAGTTTTCAAGCGGCCGCCTCTCGCGGCACGATCATTAATCAAACTAAAAAACAATAATTGCAGTGCCTAAAGCATAAATTTGATTTATTCTCTCTTACTTACGCAATAGTCTATAAGAGAATATGCCAATCAAAGCCAATGCTTAAAAGAGAGCAGATATTAAAATCTCTTTACTCTTTAACTTTCTTAAGTTGCTTGTATGCATATTCATGTGAGATGAGAGTAAATCTAACCGAACTAAGCGCAGCGTCTATTGCGTCGCTGTGCTGCTTTGTCTAAAATTTGATTTAGTCTTAATTTTTGCACGGTTTACATATGTAGTACACAAACATCAGTATTGGCAAAAGTGTTTTAAAATGATGAACTTCCACATTATATTTAAACATAACTTACCATTTAATTTGTGGATCTTTAAGGTATTTATCTATTTTTCACTTAAACACACTTCCCTACACTTCTTTCCTAAATCGAACTAACTTCGCCTTTGCCATGCGGCGAATTTAACCCAGTCGGAATGGCCAAGTGAACATTTAAATGACAAATCGGTATTAAATCTGTTTATTTCTCATATGAATAATAACTATTGGAGTGTTGACTAGTTGAGAGCCAAGTTATGCTTGGAATTAGAACTAGGCAAAACCGAAATGACAAAGAGAAAAGTTGAAAGCGACAACTTAAGAGGTATATTAACTACGATAAGTAGTTATGTGGAAAAATCATGTTTGAAAAGCAATTAGAATGAAAAAATACTGTAACTTGAAACGACATTCTCAGCATTTGGCTCAAGTGCCAAGTTCCGCAGCTCAATATCATTTCCGATGAAAAAAGGCGGTACTCTAGGGACTCTAAGGATTAGAATTGTTAAGGAATGAGGCATGTTATTGGAAAAACTCCCGCTGGGAAATGCAATCAGCTCTTCAGATCTAAAAAACTTAGGAGTAGTGCAATTTTAATAAGAATGCATAAGAGGTTTCCAAATAAATGAAGAGGTTCCACTAATAAGAAAGGCCGAGAGGTAGATTGAGAGGCAGGGAATGAATGGGAATGGGAATACCACTTGTACCATATATAGACTCTTTAGAATTAAAAGGAGAATAAATCACTAACATGATTTTAATACATATCCAGATATTTTAGAGAATGAATATGTATAGGCTTAGATTTAATTTTTTTTCTTGCACAATAAAAACTCTTCATTGTTTTCCACATATATGTAAAATGTTCCTTTATTGTTTATGTAATTTTAAATGCTATATGTGTATATATATATATATATATTATGTATGGTAAGTAGATTTATGTCAGTTTTTGTCATTTTTTTTTTTTTTTAATTTCGTTTACATATGGCATACTGCACTAAAAATTAATGTTGATTTTAGTTTTCGTTTTTTTTTTCTGCTTCGTTTTTATTCTTAAAATTCGTTTACTCTATGACTTTAAAATACTCGTATGTACGTAGTTAATAACTAGTCGCTAATCATGTTTAAAAACTCAAATACCCAACTAGAGTTCATTATGCTACGGAAGGGTATATATCTCAACTCAAGCTAGTTGGCTCACAATAATATAATATATGAGTTATATGTGGGCATATGGCATGGGGACGCATAAATATGTTGTTTAGTGTAGTGTAGTGTAGTGTATAATGAGGCTATATAGTATATTTACATGCATGAGCACCGATCTAGGGAAATATGTAATGTATGTATGTATGTAGGGTGCACGCAAGGAAGTTTTTTATGTGTCTCTCTATATGCTAAAGCATTCTTTTGATTTCTTACTTTTTCTTTAGGTTTGATACATGCGCGATCTATGTGCTATATGCTATACTTATCAATTTTAATATTATGATTATTTATTTGATTTTTTTTTATTTCATTTTAAACAATTCATTTCGTTGAATTTAGTCCAAATTGTTTTATTAATCAATGCAGCCGTTGCCCATTTTTATCGTTTTCTATTTTTCTTTTTGGTTACTTAAAAAACCCAAACACGATTCGAAAATTTTTGAGAAGTGTTCGACCTCCTCTACGTTTCACTGGGGCTAATATATTTTAATTTTGTGTGCTTTTTTCTGGGATGATGATATATTTTGCATTTCTAATGTCGTACGTGCCTAAGTTCTAAATTATGCTATATTTTTCTGGTTTTTTTTTTGTGGGCGTGTGCGGTTTTTCGTTGCTTGAAAAAAAAAGTGAAAAACAAAAACATAAAAAAATTAATATTATTTAAATACTTTAATGGGATTATATATATCACAGGTACATTTTAGACTTTTTTCAAATGCAAGCTTGTAAAAATGTATGTACGTTATGGGGAGTGAGCGAGAGAGAACTAGCCCTTCTCTAACAACCCACAAAATTGGCAAAGAGTGCGCGAATAGGCAAAGGATCGGACAGAAACATTGTATGAGTGTGTATGTTAGGGAGTGTCGCTGAGAGTGTATGCGTGGGACTTTGTTAAAGAGAGTGTATTTGTGGGGATTCGTTAAAGAGAGTGCGTATGCACAATCGTATTTAAGAGAGTCTGTCCAGTAGGTATGAAGGTATAAGTTGCACGAGAATAAGGGGATCATAAAATACTCTTCGATGGCACCGAAGTATTGGCTTTACCTATTTTCGTCATTTATATAAGCTATAAGTAGAAGTTATTTGTTTTTAATTAGAGTAAATGTTTTACTAAGCGCTAGTTCAAGTCGTTATTTATGAAGTTTTTTCCTTTTGATTTTTTTTTTTTTTTTTTTTTTTTTTTTTTTTTTTTTTTTTTTTTTTTTTTTTTTAGTTTTCCGTTTTATAGAAAAGCACTAACCATTAAACATTGCAACTGCCATTGTTCACATTATTTTCGATCGAAACTTCCTCATCTCTCTATGTATATATGTATATCGTATAGTAGGTATGTAAATGCAAATTCAGGGAACATAGTCGATAAATGCTCGATTGTGATCGTAGATATGAAAGAGTTTTTGTTTTTTTTTTTCTTGTTGTGAGTAAAATTTGTTTTTATATCAAGCCTATATGACTAGGGGGCCAGCCAACTCCAACTGTAAACATTAATATTTAATATCTAACTAATGTCTGAATTTATCAAAAAGTTTTTGTTTTCTATGCTATGGCCTGACTTCTCTAACTCTTGTTTTCTTTTCTGAGTACGTATTTTATGTTTTTAGCAATTTTTTAAGTTATTGTTTTTTCGAAGCATTTTTACAGCATTTCAGTTTCTTAAGTACATTTCCATTCTTCTGCTTGAGTTTTCTCTTTCGCTTTGTGTTGACTTCTATTTGCCTGTTGTTTGTCTATATAACTAAGTTTAAGATCATAATTCGAGCTGTGCACCTTGATTGTTGTTTTTTAGTTGTTCTGCATTCGTTTTGTGAGTGTGTACGTATTCGGTTTTCATAGGATCTTTCCTTATTCTTGTTTTTATATATATGTATGTATGTATAGCACAGTTCTAGTTATATAAAATGCTATATAGTATTGTGTGCTAGGTTCGATATGAATGAAAAATGATGGACTAGATGCTATCTTTTGTTTTCTTAATACGTTTGCAAGATCCAATTGGGATTCCAATTCCAATTCCCATTCCAATGTGCTGATTGGCTTAAGTATTTTTAGCAGTCATGAGGCGCTGCGGCGGTCCCACGGGATCGCCAGCCTCGGCGTACAGGCAGGAGCCCTCGCTGCAGGAGCAGGTGTCACCCTCCCGGGAGCTGTTGCAGCAATCGCTCGTATAGTTGCGCTGATGCAGCTCATAGCTGGACGCCAACATATTTTCATTCTCACTCTCCGCGCAGGAGTTCTGCTGTTGCAGCTGCTGCTGCTGTTGCTGGGCGTGCTGTGCCGCCTGTCGACGCTGAGCGGAGCGCTTGCTGCCGCTGTGCTCAGTGCTGCTGTCGGAATGGTGAGGCTGCTGGTGTCGCTTATTGTGGCCGTGCGAGGCGCGCGAGTTGTCCGAGCACTCGGAGGAGCATTGATAGATCTGATGACTGGAGGAAGCCGCTGGCATCTGACTGCCATGTGGCGCATGCACCGGCTGATACCAGCCCTCCACTGGCTGCTGCAGCGGCAACGGCGGCGGCGGCTGCATGGGCGAGGCCAGGGCATCACAGCTGTTGCAAGCGCGGCTGTTGCTGCCACAACGCGACGCCTGATATTCGCTCACGGCGTGCCGCTGCGTGGGATAGTGGATATGTATGTTGCGGGAGGCCATGTCGCCGCCGCCCCCGGCACCGGTAGTCGCAAAATAGGGCGGCAATGGCGGCGGATGCTGGCTGGTGGGCGTGATCTGGTAGCGATTCTGTGTGCCGCCCACAGTGCTCAGCGGATTGCTATAAAGATTCTCCTGTGGACAGCCAGCGGCGCACTGCGGCGAAACGCCCCAAGCGGAAAAGCCACCTGACGAGCTGCTGTGTATGGAGGCATTTAAAATGCTGAGAAGGTGAATATACATAGATATAATGGAGATCTGATTGGAGAGATCTGGTCTATAGTTAGACAACTCACCTTTGATTGGTTGAAATGCCAGAGCCGGCGCTCTTGGAACTCTTACGCGAAGACTCCGGCGAGCCCTGCGCATAGCCATAATTGGAGGACAATGGCGGCGGATGCTCTGGTGGTGGTGGCAAAAATTCAGACCAATTAATCGTTTCTGTTGGATATTGCAAGTAGTTTGATTTGTTGCTAGCTGTAGCTGCCGCCGCCGCCGCCGTTGCGCCCTGAGTTGCAAATGCATCCGAGTAGGGCGAATGTGTGCCCGAATCCTTGTCAGCACTCAACGAGGTGGCCTTGGTGCACGTTTCACTGGATGAGGTGCCAATGATCATGGTCGTGGCATAGGGTGTAGGATTATCGGGACTCTAAGATGGGAACAGCGAGAGAGAGAGAGAGAGAGAGAGAGAGAGAGAGAGAAATGATTAGTTCAAGTCTTTTGTTTTTGTTAACCATTCGAACGCACCTTGCGACAGTTGTAGAAGGTGGTCAAATTGCGTGTGTCCACCTCGGCATAGTCGGTGCCGCCATCGGAGTTATTATAGTTGGACTGACTGCTGTTGACATGCGACAGCAGCTTGGATTCACTCAGACCCGAGTCCTTGTCCGTGTCCGTGGTGCGCCAGCCGCGATCTATCCACAGGCTCTCCTTGCTATTGATGTTCAAAGCAGTTATCTCATTGGCGCTGACCACTGTGAGGGGGCAAAATCAGAAATAGAATTAGTAAACTGACAGATCTAGATAAGCTGTCCCATTTACCGCTCAGGTGTCCCAGCTCTTTGGTCATTTGATGGCGGCGCCTAAAGTAAATCATGACCGTTGCCGTCGAAGCAACCACAATCAATAGGACTACGATAACCAGCACCATAACCCAAGTGCCATGCGGTATGACTGTCGTCTTGCGATGTGTCGTCGGATTGGCATGATTGGGCTCTGTATTCACCATGCCATTCGTGTGGTATGTGAAATCATTGCCAGACTCGTGGCGGCCGTCGTGTGTGCCGCTGGGATGGGCACGCGGCGGATGTACATGATACGTGGGATCCATATACAAGGATTTCTAAAAAGAACAAAGACAGCAGAAGCTTATAGCAGAAATAATATGGTAGGTATACTACAGTTACTTACTGGCTTGGAATAGGGCCCGTCGCCTGCTTTGGTAAACGCATTCAGGCGCACGCTATAAACAGCTGTTGTGGTTAGATTATTAAGCAGCACAGATGTGGTTGTTGCATTCAGCGTCATGTTGGCCAACACTTTCATTGTGTTGCCGGCGCTGACTTCGATTTTATAGCCATACAAATTGCCATTGTGATGCTGAGCTGGCGGCGGCGTCCAGCGCACCCAGCCAGCAGTTAAATTATACATGCCAATTTGTATATTATCCGGCGGAGCAGAGGGCACTAAAAAAAACATTTTAATTTAAAGAAATGCATATCAATTTAATGGCTATTGATTCTGCTTTACCATCCTCATAGGTTGTGACTAATTTCGAATTGCTGGGCTGTCCCTCGATGGTCTCATAGAAGGGCGTCACAAAGAATTCGTATTTCGTATATTTGCGCAAATTGGCAATCACATGAGATTCCGAGGCAGCATCCAGCACTGTGACCATTGCATACTGATTCGAATGGGAGCTGGCATCGCGATAGCGTATGTGCAGACCCTATTGGAGTAGTAAATGATAAACATAGTTTAGTTAAAGTCTCGATATGTCCTTCAAACGTGAGCTTACCTCCACAAATTTCTCGTTTGCGCTCACGTGCAGCATCCAATCCAAGCGCACGGCGCTCGCATTTACAGCCGAGGCATCGATGAGCTCCACAACCTGCACAGATTTATATATATATATATTATAGACACATCCCTATATAGTATTCAAATGTACTCTCACCTTGCCGGTGAGCAGCGTTCGCGCTGCGGACAGCTCATTGGAGGGCGCCACGTCAAAGTCCTCGCCCAAGGTCTTAATAGCATTCGAGAGGCCTGAGGGCACAGACACGCCCTGCGTATTCTCAGCGCGCACCAAAAACACATACGATGTGGCCGAGGTCAGGTCGGAGATCTGTTGAGCACATGAGTATGAGTAAGGTATAAATGTATTTGAGAGAGCGATGCTACGACTTACCGTTACTTGGGTATCCGCAATGCGATGGGCGGCTACTATCCAGCCCGTTTGCAGGTCGGGACTAAAGTATTCCACAGAATAGCTAGAAATGTAAAAATAAAATATATGTGAAATGAATATATAAATAATATACATATGAAATGGCTATAAATAATAATATTAATATATTATCTAATAAGATCTTAATGTAAATAGTTCCTTCACTCTTTTTGATTCTACAATGTATTGCTATATTTCTACATACTTTAAAGGATCATTCGTTTTTTAATCTTCTGTATTCCATAAACTTTGCTTTCAACACGTTTATCTATATATTTCTTAATAAATTTACAAATACTGCCAAGTTTCATTCCTCTTTTTTGCAATTCTATAAACTTTTCTCTTATCTACATACATACTTGTTAATATATTTGGAAATACTCAAAATATTAATTCCTCAGCTAAACTATAGCTTACCCTATGATAGGACCAACAGCGCCTGGTTTCTCTTGGCTCTTGGCCCATCTCAGTGAGATGCTCGTGCGTGTCACATTGATGACTTTGGGCGTGCCTGGTGGGGCGGGATAGGTGCTGGGATCCGCCACACGATGCAGTGTGGCAGAGCTGCTCTTCTCCACCTAATTGAAATATGGAAATAATTAGATATAATAGTTAAATGGACATTAATCTATAGACTTACTCTCAGAGTAGCAGACCAGCTGGATTCACCACGCTCCGAGGAGGCGGTGCATGTATATAAACCAGAATCACTTAGCTGCAGATCTGTTGAAGTAAAAAGAGCAAGTTGAGGCACTTATTTCAAATAGCTCTCTATATATGTTAGGCATACCATCTATTCGTAGGGAGCTGCCCTGAACGATGCTGTGACGATTGCTCGTCTGCACTGCGTAGCCATCGTGGAACCATTTGACTCGTGGCGTCGGATTGCCCGTGGCACGACAAGGCATTGTGGCGACGGAGCCCTTGGATAGCGTTTGATTGGCGGGTCCAATTTGTATGATGGGCGGCGGGCGCTCATCGACCGTGCTGACTTGCAGATAGACGCGCACCGTGGCTGAGTCAACGACACTGAAAGCGGAGCACATATAGAAGCCCTCGTCATCCTGCTGCACATCGTTGATCTGCAGCGTGCCATCGGCTGAGATGTGCTGTCGTCCATGCGAGCTGTTTGGAAACATGAGCGTAGACACGCCCTCCTTGGTCCAGAAGACTGATGGCGGCGGATTGCCTGTGGCCACACAAGGCAGCTGCACTTGGCCATTGAGACCGACTTTCTTATTGGTCGGCTTCTTGGAGAAACTTGGCGGAGCTGTGAAGCAGAAATTACGGAATTAGCTAAGGCAATCAGATAAAACCATAGATGAAGCGGCGTACCGTGCACGGTGAGCGTGGCTCGGGCGCTGATCTGGCCCACATTGTTGTGCGCCTCACAGACGTAGGTGCCCTCGTCGTTGGGCGTTATGTTGCTCAGCTCGAGACTCTTCTCGTCGTGCAGGATGCGTGCCCGAGAGACCGGAATGTTGCCTTCCTCCTTCTTCCACAGAACCTTTGGCGGTGGATCACCGCCGACTGAGCAATGAAACGTCGCCGTCTGGCCATAGACCATGGTCAAGTCTTTGGGCTCCTTCATGAAGTATGGCTTGATCTGGACAATCAACTTGGCGTAGCTGGATTCGCGCGAGCCCAACAGATTCTGGGCAATGCACTTGTAATTGCCCTCATCGATGGGCTCCACGTTGCTGATCAGCAAATTGCCACCATCCACGATGCGGACGCGTGAGTTGGTGCTAAAAGGTTTCGAATTCAAGTCATCCAGTGGAACGCCATTCTAAAAACACAAGAGAGAGAGAGCCACAACATGTGAAAACTGGGACACGTATTACTTAAGATTTGCTTTTGGCTTGCCTTCATCCAGATAATGGTCGGCTCTGGTATGCCTTTGGGCGGCCCACATTCGAGCAGCGCCGTCTCGCCTTTGGCCACGCGCGTATCTTTGGGCTCCACGCGAAAATCGTCGCGCAATACTGCAAGCAAAGAAACAAACAAGGTGTCAAACATGTGGCGAGTGTGGGTTAACAAGTTGGCGGTGGTTGTGGTGGTTGAGGTTGTGGTTGCTTACCAGCGATTTGGAGTGAGGCATGTCGACTGACGGCTTTGCCCACGTGGTTTTTGGCCACACACCAGTACTCGCCGCTGTCCTGCTCCTTCTTGCTCTGCATGGTGCGATAGAAGAATAGAGCGCCGTCTTTAAACAAAACCCGATGCGATTTCTTTTCATTCGTATTGACCGGTTCGCCATCCTATATGGGAATGCACATATTATATATAGTATACAGTTGATAGTTTACATATTAGATTAGTTAATCTACCTTATACCACTCAATGGTGGGCTCCGGCTTGCCCTCCACTTTGCAATTGAGCGTGGCGGGTTCATTCTTCTTGACGACCAAATCTGTGGGATGCTCAATAATGCGTGGCGACTGATATTGAGCTGGGAAGAGATCATGCATACATATATATATATATATCAATATTTGTACATTTTGAGATAATTGCATATGCATGTGGCTTAAATGGCTTTACCTTTGGCTGCGGGCAGCGCTAGGGCCAGCAACAGCAGCAGCAGCAGCAGTTGATGCAGTGGTTGCTGCCTGGGCATATTGTTTATGTTTGATGCTGAATGATAGTAGTTAGTGCTCCAGATGTAACGATGTCGATGTCGATGTCGATGTGATGCTGATATATACATATGCATATGTATATTACATATATATAGATATTGCGCAGTTGTGAGTGGTGGCAATCATTTTTTTTTTTTATATCTTTCTTCTATGTATATATTATTTATCTTTGCTAATGGCATGAAAAATGGCAAAGAATGTGACAGCTGTTAGTTAAAGGGGAAGCACAATAAACATATGTGTATATATTTGTAATATAATGTATGCTATAAAAGTATGCTTTCTAGTAATTAAAAATAATTATATTTTATTATTGGTGTTTAATATAAACTGTAAACATACACAGTTACACAATATACTTGTAGTATACAGTATGTCATAAAAGTATGTAAATTTAACTATTAGTTTGCATAAACAAAAAACATCTATATACTTTCAATATGCAGTGTGTCATAAAAGTCTATTTACTAGTAATTTAAGTATTTACTCAAATTTTGCATTAATCTTTTTGTTCGCACACTTTCACAACATACTGTATGCATCAATGTGCTGTATATTTGTGGGCGTGAGAGGCGTGTCGGCATTTGCATACAATGTAAAGTATTTGACAATTACAAACCTCTATTCCACTTTCACTCGTTCTATCTGCGTCCACTTCAGTTTTGATTCTGCTTTTTATCTTCCAATTTGTGTGTTGAATATTATTATTCTTCGATGCCTGCTCCAGTTAGATTTCCATGCAGGCAGCTCGAGGCGCCCAAAATCGAAGGCGACGTCGATGTCGACGACAATGACGACATATGCATATATAGATAAGCAATGCAGAGCACTCAGCGCGCAACACCAATAAAATTATATATACTTATTTGTGTCTATGCTTTCCCATTAATTTGGTTGAGTTCTTTTTTTTTTTATTTCTGTATTTATCTCTCTTTATGTTTATCTCGCCAGCGCCTACGGCGACGGCGTGGCCCAAAAAGTAGAAGAAAAAGACAGAATTTACAATCCAAATGCAGCGAGGCGAAGTTTTGATTTTGATTGCTTTTTCGATTTTATTAAGAGTTTCTCACACTTTCTTTTCACTCACTTCGTATCGTATTGTATTTATTTTCGTTGTTATTTTTATTATTAATCACAAAACTAAAAACTTTAAATCGTAACTAAAACGATTTAGCGTTGCGTCTTCTCTCTCTCCCTCTCGCTGTCTCTGTCCTTTTTAGCTTGTTGTTTTTGTCTTTTTAGTCGTTTGCGTTTTTGGGGTTGTTTCTCTTTCTCAGCCTCATTTCCGCATTTTCCGAATGAAATTTCTTTTTGGTAATTTTACAAGAACAAGAACATGCTCCTGCTGTTTCAGCCGTTCATCAGTTCACCGACCACCGTTCCCGTTGCTATTGCCGTTCCAACTGCCAGGCCAGCCTGCTGCCTGCCTGCCTGCTGGCTTGTTGTTGTATCTATAACAGTGCGTAGCGTACGTATAAATATATACACATACACATTCATGCACTCTCTTACATGAATACGCACACACACACGCACGTACACTTTGGTTTCGGTAGATACACAGATGTAAGAAAACACATCCGATTTTTACACCCGAAATGCGGGTTTGATTTTGATATTTATTCACTTGTCCATTGCATTTAATTTGTGCGCTGAATTAAACAGCAGCTGCAATTAACTTTTATTAATTATTCTCTCACTATTCTTTGTGTTTAATTCAATTTTTGTGTAAGCAGCTACTGGACGTGGGTTGTGTCTGTGGAAAACTGCGGAACAATGTGAATATGGAACGAAAGAAAACAAAAAATACCACAAATTACCATGTTTGAGATCTGGCAGCACTGCTTGCGTTGCCATGATGTTAGGTATGGCGCCAAAATCGAAATATAAAATTAGACAATTTTATATTGATTCATTTATTTATTTTATTTTTTTTGAAAGATATAAATGTAGTCAATGTTATTTTTTGTAAAATGCGTAGATTTTGATGCCACACTGCTTTGTTTTGCAGAATCATATATTCAAATAATTTTCTTATTGGGGTTTGCCTTCAACCATCTGGCAGCCTTGCAGGCGACACCCGGCGCCAAAATATAAAAGTTCGTCAGGACTTAAAATTTTTTAATGAATTTTATAAATCAGCTTAGGAGGACTTCAATATATTCGGATCTGATGTAACAGAAGCTTGCGCATTTATTTTGGAGAGTTTACGAGATTGTTTCCCAGAAGATGCGCCACTACATAAAGGCTCATCCATATCATCGACGTTATTAAATTGGACGCATTCGTGACAAACAATACGTCCACGATAGGTAAAGTTATTCAATTTCGGCTCTGATTGGATCATTGGACTGTATAGTGGATCATCCGTATTTTGCGTTATGTCGGCTGTATCGTTGCCAATACATTCGGGGCAAATGTTGTGCTTAACGCTGCCAATGTGGCACGGGCTGAGATCGAGACATCGCTTGAGCGGCATGCTCAGGTAATCTGTCGCGGTGCGCGGTGGCTTTTTCTTTCCATTCTTCAAGTTGCAGGTCAACTTCACCCAGGTCATGTCGTCCTTCTGCTGGCGCGCTATTATCGCCTTTCGTATCTCAGCTATCCGTCTGCCGGAAGACATCAGCTCCGTATAGAGCTTCCGGCAGCTGTTGGCCAAATTCGCTTGGGTATAGACGATGGCATTGCTACCAGTCAGCTCACCAAACGCCTGCGGTGGGCAGCGACATAGTGAGATGCACTTGATAATGTTGCGATTACGTTGCATTATTTCGAGTTGAACTTAAGCTGGAATTTGGACCACAACCAAAACTGAATTTTCCATATGCTATTTTGAGTCTTATAGCTATAAAATTTTTGTTTTTGTATTTTCCTTATTTATTTGCTTTTTTATGTTTGTAGTTGTCGTGCCTAGGCCTCCTAAGCTCTAAGCTTGGCCAGCTGAGGTTTGCCCCTGACTAGATTACGTGAACGTATCAGATTCGATATGCCTGCCTCGCAGCTCGGCACATGTGCTCCAATTGGACGTGGGGCTGGACGTCGCCCACCTGCCACAGCGCTCTTCACCTGCTTCGGCTGCAAGCGCAGCTGGGTGACCCGATCCACGGACATGCTCTTGGGTCGACGCGACAGATAATCGTGGATGTGGCTATTGGAGCCATTGGCTATGTTCAGATCAATCAGATAGTCCTGCAGCTCGGCCTTCAATTTTGCATTTTCTGCCTCCAAGTTGCGTTTCTGCTGCTTGAGGCAGGCCACGTCGACGGAGACATTGTTGACGCGTCGCCAAAAGGTTTCCATTTGTGGCAAGGCAGCTACTTCCTCCTACAAAGAAAATTCCGTTGTACTCCGATTAGCTCTTAATGGTCTGCTTACCTTGAGTGGATCATTAGATAAGTGAGAGTCCTCCTCTCCAGGTGTTTGCAGCTCACGTATCTCTATTATCTCTTTGGAGAGCTGAGGCAGCTGAAACAGTTTCTCTCGCTGCGTTTCCATTTTGGAGCAAATGCGCGATAGTTGAGACAAAGTTTCTACTTTGCTCAGATGTGCCTTGAGTGTCTGGCGGAGATTATATATAGAGATGAATGATAAAATGTGAGTAATTAAAGTAAAGTCTCTCTCTTTCTCTCTCTCACTTTTCACCTCACCCACCTGTATAGCTTCATAGCTCTCCACGGTCATTTCCTTGAATAGCCTGTGCTGCTCCTCCACCTCCTTTTCGACGTAGCTGCGCAACTCTCTCAGCCGATCGGTGAGCTCCTGTTTGATGTTTTGTCTCTGGTGCAGCTGTGCCTGCTGCTTGATTTGCTGCTCCTCGGCGAGCAGTCGGAGATTGCAGAGCTGATCGATCAGGTGCTCGATTTCGTAGCTTTGCTGACTGATCTGCTGGGCGCTCTCCTCGTCGCGCTGCTTCAGGTCCACATACTCCGAGTAGAACCCCTCGATGTGCTTCCCATAGTCGGCTAGCACCGATTGATACTCCTGCCACAAGGCCTCCAGCTTGCCCTCACCGCGGCCCGTAATCTTCTCCAGCTTCAATTGCATCTGTGATTTGATGGGAATTATGTAATATTCTCTGTGTGCCGTTGGCCCATTGTGTGCCAGTCAAGCACGACGTCCATTAGTCCGTCAGCTGTCAGCAGTCACTGGCTATAAATGTCGACAGCAGCTCAGAGCTGCTCGGCAAACAGTTCTTGAGATGCGCCTGCTGCTGTTGCTTTTACTCAGCTTTAGCTGCAGCATCAACTGCCTCAAGTGTCGCTCGCAGGATGGCGCCGGCGATGCGGAGCTCAAGCGGATTGTGCGCACTTGCATGCAACGCAGTGGCAGCAACGGCAACCAGGAGGACAACGACAATAGACGCTATGGCAATGGCAATGGCAATGGAAGATACAATTTTGATAACGATGATTATGGACAGGCTCAGGATCGAGGCCAGGGCCAAGGCAGACAGCAGCAACAACAACAGCAGCAGCAGTCCTATGGTAATTCCTGGCAGCGCAGCGTTAAGCAAACTGACAACAACAACAATAATAATAATAACAACAACAGCAACACATCTGAAGCGGGCGGCTGCGTGGCGCTGTGTTTCTTTGAGGAAATGAACATGGTAAGTCAGCTGCAACACTATTTAAGTATATAATKGTACATACATACACATATACATATGTACATACATATGAATACTATTTGTCATGAATTTGACTTCTTCCTTTAATGTTCTCATTCGCTAACTGACTCAACAAGCTGAGCCATGTTGTTCTCTCTTTCTTTAAAGCTTTCATTCACCTTACTCTCACCGCTCTTTTAAATATGCAAGCTGAGCGCCTTAAGCCTTGTGCGCTTAAAAACGTAGGTCGCTCTCTCTGTCTTTTAAGCTCAAGCTTTCATTTTGTGTTACTTACTCTCGTCAAGCTCTCAAATACTTATACAAGTCGAGCGCCTTTAGTCTAGTGCGCTTGAAAAGGCAGGACGCTCTCTCTCGCTTTTAAGTAGTTACTCAAGCTTCCATACTGTTTTCCTACTCTCACTGCGCTCTCAAACATACGTATGTATGCAGCAGCATTGAAGAATTGTCAGAGCACTTGCCATATTGCTTAGTGTGTATATAGAGAGTATTAAAGTGCACTCACAAATTGTTGTGTGCATGTATGCAAGCCGAAATGCAATACATGCTCGCCCTTCTTTCCGTTTTGGCTTTGGCGAGCTCAATAAATTTCTTAGTTTATGGAGATGAGCTTTCGCATAGTTATATTCGTATATTTGTATATGCGTATGTACATGCTTATGCATGTAGTGTACATTCTGTCTAACGATTTCTCTCTTCAGGTGGATGGCAGTGGTCAGCCTGATCGGCGCAAGGTCAGCTACTTGCTGACAAAGGATCTGCGCGATCGCGAGCTGCGCAACTTTTACATGGACACCGTGCAGCAATGCTTTCGCTACATAGAGCACTCCCGCTACAGCAACAACAACAGCAACAACAAGTGCAGCCAGGCAAGGGAGCTAGTCAAATGCATGTCCGAGTATGCCAAAGCGCAATGCGATGACTGGGAGGAGCATGGAAATATGTTATTCAACTAAACTCTTGACCCGTTACTTACGCCGCTCTTCAGATCCTCCACACGATCCAGATAGACTTCGTGGTTGTCTTTGATAGTACGATCGGCGGTCTCCTCTAGCTGATAGAAAACGCACTCGAGTTGCTGTTGCTTCTCCGCCTGCAATTCCTTATAGATAGCCGCATCCTGTTTATATTCACGCAGCACCGCCTGCTTGTCGTCCTCGTAGATGCGCCAGAAGAACTCTATGCGACTGCGATGTATGCCTGGTAAAAGGGAAGCACTTTTATTAAATACTATGTAGATATACAATATGAATATTAAAGATATAGCTCACCAATAATATGATCAATGTTCTCCATATGCGACTGCTGCAAGTTGGCGTACATATCCTCCGTGGAATTGATATCGCCTATTAGACGCTGTATGACCTGATCCTTGCGCTTCAGCGCCTGCTCGAAAAACTGCGCCACATCGAGAATTTCCCGTCGCAAATCCTGAATTTTCACCTGTCGCAATATGGAACGCCATTCCTGATTGATTTTGGCCATGTTCAGGCGACAAAATGCATCCTCGCGCTTTAGCTTGTTCTGCACAGATATATACGGTTATGGGCCTATCAATACCTAGGGTATCTGTCATTCGTTACCTTCATGTACATCGCTATTAGCTGCATTTTGCGGCGCCTCGTCTCCTCCTCCATGTCGGCGCGCATTTGTAAATATCTGGCCCGCTCCTCCTCGGACATTTTGGCCAGCTTATTGCCTTTGCCTTTACCCTTTTTGCCCATCTTCAAGTGTTTCTATTAATTGCTATTTGGCGAAAGCTGCTTATCAAATTTCAAAGGCCAGTTGGTTCAACTAATTGAGCGCACCGGACTAGAGGTCAGACTGAACAGAAAAAATTGTACAAAATAAATGAATGAAAATCGAAGAAAGAAAAAAAAAAACAAGCTGCTGCCATGACGACCTTCGCGCCTCCCCCCACCAGCCCCGGTTGTCAAGGGGTTGTTCATCATTTTTAATGCTCAGCATTTGAGCGTGCATTAAATTAACGATTCGTACATTTCAAAGCCCATTAGGGCACTGACAACTGATGCGGGCTATGACGGGGCTGACACTATAAATGGGGCCCGTCCAGCGGGCAGCTCCAGCTTAGTAACTAGCATGTGGCGATTTATATTTGTATTGGCTCTGCTGCTGGTAAGTCCAAATCTTGCTTTTATATATTTTATATACCGCCCTGCCACGCCCCCACAGGTGTACACTGCGCTGGGCATACGCGTGAATTGCCGTCACATGGAGCGCATTCACGAGGATCACATCCACTACTGCTGCAAGCATCCGGACGGCCACAACGACGTCAGCGAGCTCTGCGCCCAGAAGACCAACTTTAAGCTGCCCTCGAAGACGGAGGAGGCCATGGAGGATAACACTGTGGATGCCGTCATGACCGGCAACTGCTGGGCCAAATGTGTCTTCGATCATTATAAATTCTTGGTCAACGACACCCTGGACATGCTGGCGGTCAGGAGTCACTATAAGAGCGTGCACAGATTGGATCCGGAGTACGAGACTGAAATGTTGGCGGCTTTTGACGAATGCCATTCGAAAGGTAAGTGGAAGAGACCCAAATCGGATATATATATAGCGCTCTCTATGTATTGCTAGCTGTGGAGGCAACATCTATCTTCCTTTCGATGCCCATCGTACGCGCCTTCAGCAGTGCCAATGTGTGTAAGCCCCTGTCGAGCGTCATCTTGTCCTGTGTGATTCAGACGTTCTTCCATAACTGTCCGAGAAGTCGCTGGTCGAACACCACGGAATGTCTCGAGACTCTGGCGTTCTCCAAGCGGTGCAAGGATGCGCTAACCACAATGTGAATGAAGGAAACTGAAAAACTAGCATTAAATTCTATATATCTATATTTTGGAATTATATGAACAGATCAGCATATATACATATGCATAATGCTTCAAGAATGCTGAAAAAGCAGCTATATAAGAGAGGTTAAATAAGCCATAGATTAAAAGAACCTGAGAGCTAAAGAAGAGTGGGCCTGCACTCTTTGGGTTAGAGAAGATCAGGACAAAATATAAGAATTTTTGTAGTAGATGGCAAGAAGAATTTTATATGGCTTCAAACTGCTTAAATTCGAATGTTGTTGGAAGAGCTTGATTCGCAGATATTATGAATTTTAAAATTGTTAGGGAAAGTTGATACACTCAATTTGTTGAAAGAATAAATATTTAAAGTCGACGATGGGAAGATAAGTTAATACATCTTAGAGAGAGATATCCTAGTCCTTAAATAGGTTAAGCTTAGAAAGAAGTACGGATATTCAACTAGATTTTCGTAGATTAAGTCAGGATAAGAAATAAACTTGAACATCAAGCAAACAAAATATACTAAAGATCATATTTTATTATCAAATATATGTGCATGACAGATCATATAAATATTGAATCAAAAAACTTTAATTATTAATTCAATTTTATATTATTAGTATTTTGTATTAAATCATTTATTTATGAATCCAAAATTCCATTTACAAAGTAGCCAAAGAATCGCGACAATTTTGACTGAAAGCCAATAGATTTTCGCACTCCTTTGTTTTGGCCCAACGATCCTTGGGACAATTGTGAAAGAACTGACGTATGACACAGGCCATAATGACGCTGGATTTGGGTGCACAGTAGTGCTGGGACATGTGGACAAAGACATGATTCGACATGAACTTGGCGACATTCTCCTCAGCTAAAGGAATATAAATATATATATATAGAAATATATCTTGATTCAGACTCGGTTTGCTTACTTTTGCCATGACAGTGATCGAAGGCGTTGATCATTTCCTTGACATATTCCGGATCGTGGCTGAACTTCTCATTGAGATACTTCTTAACAGCGTCCATGTCCAAATTGTCGTCCTTCATGACGTTCATTTTCTCGAAGACGCACTTGGCAAAACAGGTGCCCGAGATGGCACGTGTGGCCGTCAGATCCACCAGGGACTGCTCCTTGGCACTTGGCATCTTGAAGCCCGTCTCCTTGGAGCAGCTATCAATGATGTCGCTGTGGCCATCGGGATGCTTGCAGCAGTAGTGCACATGATCCTCATTCACGGCATCCGTTTTATCGCAATCAATCTCACCTGCTCTGGCGTACTGTAGATGGCGCTAATTTTTATACCAAATATTGCAAATCAAACAGAAATTCGCAGCTTACCCAGACAAGATAGAAGAGTGCAAAGGCTCTTAGCAGAAACATTCTGTTGCGCCGCAGCTTGATCTCATGGTTCCGTTGGGGTCTTTATATAGCCACCTCTCCGGTGATTTCGCAAATATTGCCTTAAATGAGGCTTGAGTGTGTTAATAGATCAGCGGACTAATGGATTTGTTTATGTTGCGAGCCATTACACAACTGGGGCTGTAATTGTGCGTTACATTTAATTAAGCAAGAAAATTGTAATTAGATAATGTAATTAATCTTTACAATTAAAAATCCGAAATGTTATAAAGTTGAGTGTAGACCCAGACTCCATATCATTTAGCCTAATAATGCGTTGCCCAATATTCCTCTCGCTGCTGCTGCTGCTCCCGTTGCTTGGCCTGGTCCAGGCGCAGGACGTCTCTGAGGAGGAAGTGGCGGAGCCGAGTCCCATCGATAATCTTACGCTGGATCAGTGCGACAAAAAGGTTAGCAGCTACATCTTATACAAGTCCAAATACTGAATAGCTCCACTTCAATGCTAGCGCAGGGGCTGCTGCTCCGATTTGTACCTGGGCGATGAAGAGACGCTCATGAAGTGCTTCTCCATACACTCGGATCGATTGCCAGCCGAAGGTGATACGGATATGAGCAAGTCCCTCAAATTTCTATCGGTTCGTATCTAAAATATACAATTTAAATGTATTTTATTTTTATTTTTATATTGCATGTATATATTTATTTGTTTTTTATATGTATATACCCCTATAGGTTTTATCAGATTGTAGATTATATCCTGAGCCCATCTAGAATGATGAGGATTTAGCAAGCCCTAAAAAATATATATAAATATTCTTGATTATGATAGGAAACTGAATCTGTCTAACGAGTTTTCCGTTTATCTGTTTTCCGATCTGCCTTTCAGTCTGTCCATATATCATTCCATTTGATATCATCCGTAATAAGCTATGCGGATTCTTTAAGGTAGAGGCATCAAATTTCGATCCTACTAGATATCTGTGATGAACACACAGCAAAAGAAATATAGATCATACGATCATTAGGATCGGAAGATTCCTTTTGCTTGTATGTGGTATGCAAGGGGTATCTGGCAGTCGGGCACACTCGACTTTAAGCACTCTTACCCATATTCTGCTCCCTTTCAGTGCTTCGTCGAGTGCCTCTACAAGCAGCGCAAGTATGTGGGCAAGAGCGACACGATCAACATGAAGATGGTAAAGCTCGATGCGGAGATTCTATATGCAGATCGGCCCAAGGAGCAGGCGTATCATATCAAAATGTTTGACTATTGTCGCAAAGATGGTGAGACGATTCAATAGCCTTCCATACTTACTAGCCATATGAACCTTCAATAAATAACTTTCTGCCCAGCTATGAAGCTGTACAATTTGCTGAAGGCCAGTCCGGGCGCCAAGGCCATGCTGAAGAATGCCTGTCGACCCTTCCTCCTGATGGTGTACCTCTGTCAGTCGGAGTATCACAAGAAGCATGAATGCCCGTACTTTCGGTGGGAGGGCAGAGAAAAGTCGAACACCAAAAAGCCGTGTCACGATGCAAAGGTCAAGTGCTATGAGCTCGACGGAATCCCGGCGCCTGCCGAGCACTAGGATATGCAGGAGCTGTACTACCCATAAAATCGAACACACTATGTGCACGAAATAATAAAAAGTAAAACTGAAAAAACTCACTTTATTGTTCGATCGACACATATACACATCCAAATACAGATATACATATACACAGTTTCCATAAATACATACATAGACATCAATACAAATGTACTCAGTGCGTAGCGCCACCAAGGAAAATGCGCAAGAACTAACACTGCTCATCCATGACTCGCACGTTAAGTGGTTTGGCAACAAGCGCATCAAATATGACGTCAAGGAGTCCTTCAAGGCATATCAGACCCATCGTCTGATCGCCCTGCGGGACGATAGCATCGTGGCCTTCGCGGAGTTTCGCAACTATCCGGCAATCGGTCCCTTGCCCAGCGACAATTGGTTAGACTGGCTTCTCCACAGATATTGGTAAAAGATGAGCAACAAAAACAAATATTCTTCTATTCACCTGACTGACAGATAAATATGTGTATATGTATACATACATACATATATGTGTGTATACTATATACAATTGTCCTGGCCTGCTTCGTACAGCATCACAGTCTCTGTCAGCTGGCTGAACACCCTGTTCTTTACGTTTTGCATCTACCGCGAGGATGAACCCGAATCGCTGCTCGCCCTGATCCGCGAGGTGTTCTATCGCGAGAATCGCCTGTTGTACTTGATAGCCGTTCGCATGCCCTATCTGGCCAAGCATACGCACTACATTGAGCACTTCGATGACCTGGCCAAGTATTGCCAGATCTTCTATCCGCGCGAGTTTAGCATCGAAAGCAATGCGAATACCCAATCCGTTTTCATTGTGAAGCGCTATGGCCTCCTGCCGGCCATCACGTATCGCAAGGCACTGTAAATACCCTACGATTTATTAGATATCTATCGATCTCAATTCTAACCGATCTCAGCGCCGAGGATAACGACGATATTGTGGAAATGCATTCGCGTGAGCTGCCCGAGATGCGAGCGGCTCTGGGCGATTTCTACATAGCCGAGGAGCTAATGCGCACGGACGAGGATGCCAAGAATTCGGTGATAATTGTCACGGAGATACAAAACGAGAATCACGAATCGATGACTGCAGGATTCATGTGGCTGAATGCGAACGTCGACATTCGCTACTACGTGCGGAACTACGAGATGGAAATGTTTGGCAATTTGCTCAGTTTTAATCCCGCCAAGCCAAGTGGTTTCGAGGAAATAACCGTCATGTGAGCGATTTATCAGATTTGTCTTATTTAAATATGTATCACTATAATTGAGCACCTATGCAGGTGGACGGAGCGTACTCCGGAGGCCCAGCTATTCACAGCCGCTGCCATGCATGAACTGTGTGAATCGACCGTTCTCGGAGGCATCCAGAGCAATGGCAGCAGCATGAGGTAATTACGTTGTTACACCTACGCTTATATACCCTGTAATTAGTTGTCTACTACTATTACTACAACTACATTACATTACAACTACAGCTACATTTTCGACTACTACTTCTATTACTACTACTATCATTACTGCTACTACTATTACTATTACTACTTCTATTACTACTACTATTGCTGTTACTACTATTACTATTACTATTTCTATTACTACTACTATAATTACTGCTACTACTATTACTATTACTATTTGTACTACGACTACTTCTACTACGACTATTATTACTGCTACTACTACTACTATTATTACTGCTACTACTATTATTATTACTACTACTATTATTACTGCTACTACTATTAATATTACTCCTTCTATTACTACTACTATCATTACTTCTACTACTATTACTATTACTACTTCTATTACTATTACTACAATTACTGCTACTACTATTACTTTTACTACTTCTGCTACTGCTATTAATACTTCTACTACTGCTATTAATACTTCTACTACTGCTATTAATACTTCTACTACTACTATTATTACTGCTACTACTATTACTATTACTACTTCTACTACTACTATTACTGCTTCTACTACTACTATTATTACAGCAACTACTATTATTATTACTACTACTATTATTACTGCTACTATTATTAATATTACTTCTACTATTATTACTGCTACCACTATTAATATTACTACTACTTTTACTACTGCTACTACTATTATTATTGCTACTACTATTATTACTGCTACTAATATTGCTATTACTACTACTATTATTATTTCTACTACTTCTATTACTACTACTACTACTACTCTTACTACTACTTGTTATTGTTTCTACAATTCTTTTATTTAAAAATTCACGACTAAAGCAGTCTGTTCTATTTCCCGCAGTGCGACTAGTCTAGGCAAGATCAAGATTAGCTCGATCGATGGCAATATTCTTGATGTACCCAAGAAGGCGAGCATCGACAAGTTCTACGCACATGAATATCTATACCTCAAGTTTAGCTATATCTTCGAGAGTAAGTGAGACCAGTGATAACAGTAGCTCTCCAGTCTCATCGTCATACATACCTTCGCAGAGTTCGGCACGCTGCACTACTATATCAACAAGCACGATAAGGTGGTTAATTTGTTTTACAATGTGGACCCAAAAAATCGGAAAAAGGACGGCCTACAGCTGTCCTCCAATGTCTTCGAGCTGCGATTCATTTGTGTGAGCAACGATTTCCCCTTGCCGCGTCTATTCAACTGCCTGAACGCCATGTACTCGGCGTTTCCAGATCGCGACTATTGCATCATGGCCATACCAAAGACCGCCACTGCATTGCGCAGTCATGTAGAGGCGCTCAAATACTTTATGGCAAGTCGGCCTGAGCTTCAAATCCCAAAATTAATATTCGTATTCACTTCTAACCCTACCTAACTCACAGCCCGTGGCGCAGCGCCCGACTGATGTGACCAATTTGCAGGATATCTTCATAACGCATCGTAGCACTATCTTTGGAGAGATTAGGTGGGTGAATACTTGTTCATGAAATGAAATGAGTCTAGCTGGCCATCTAACTGTACATGTGTTTGTCCATTCGGCAGTCCCTTGTCCGACCGTCCGTTCATCCGGCCGTTCCTTCGTCGTCCGTATGATATTTTTAATATATACTACCTGTGTAGTACGGTTCTTTTAGGCCGTCCTATAGACATATTCCCAATGGGAGAACTTTTACTATAAATCTAGATCATTTTGAAGTCTGAACGAGTATTGTAAAGTCGGTTGTGCCCGACTGAAGTGCTTTCACTTCTTTTAGCTTATTTCCATTGCAAAGCGAAGACATCGAACTGATTATGGATATGTTCCGTGATGTGAGTAAGCCGGCCCATGAGAGACCGTTCTCGTCGGCCTCGGTCAGTTTCGTGTACAACTCGAAGATCAATGCTTTAGCTGACATTGAGAACGAGATTCTGGTGATAAAGCAGATAATGGCCGATGTGCTGAGCAATGAGAACAGCGAGTATAATTTCTTCACCATACGCTGTGGCAATTCGACCAAACCGGTCCATGAGAATACGGCCGTGGGCTATGTTGTGTTGCGCAAGTATCTGAATCGCCACGAGCTGTTGCATCATTTCCACTTGCCCAACAACGATCCCCACTTGGAGAACGAGCGGGCCGAGATCATCTCACTGCGTTTGCATCCACTCTATCACAATTGCTGCGATTTGATCTTACGCAATCTGGCGGCCAAGACGAACTACTACGATTTCTATTTCATATACGCACGTAATGTAGGATTATATATATGTACTAGTTACTGTTATGATTATTGACATTAATTATTGGCTATTTGTAGCGATTTCTTTTTAGCAACGATCTAAAGTCGATGATGATGCAAATCGAGCCTAGTCCCAGAAAGAAGAGCTTCTTCAAACGGAGGCAAACCAAGACGGTGGGCCCCACTTTTGAGGGTCTGCCCGAGCTGGATTACTTCAACGATCAGCTGGTCGTCTTTCGCCACAAGCTGAGCCCTACCCAATGGTTCGGCAAGAACACCCGTTTGGTCGTACTTGGTTTCACGCCTGTGGCCAGGGCCTTTTTGCGCCAGCTCGTCTTTCAGTGGAATACCAAAGAGTGAGTGCACAGCGAGTACTTTCTGAATCCTTTCTCTATTTATCCATCTATACATCTTACTGAACATCTATCCATCTATCTATCTATCTACCTATCTCTCTATCTTTCTATCTTTCTATCTATCCATCTATCTATCTATCTATATATCTATATATCTATATATCTATCTATCTATCTATCTATCTATCTATCAATCTATCTATCTGTCTCTCTATCTATCTATCTATCCATCCATCTATTTATCTATCTATCTATCCATCTATCTGTCTATCTATCTATCTATCTATCTATCTATCTATCTATCTATCTATCCATCTATTTATCTATTCATCTATCCATCTATCCATCTATGCATCTATTCATGTATCCATCTATCCATCTATCTATCTATGCATCTATTCATTTATTCATTTATCTTTCTATCACCTATCGATCTATCTATCTATCTATCCATCTATCTACCTATCTATTTCATTATTTTTCTATCCATCTATCCGTCTTTCTCTCCATTTATCATCTGTCTATATATCGATCTATTTCTTTTCTCTGCAGTCACTCCAACTCGGAGTCCTTTACGTGTCTGCCGCGCTTACAGGTGACAGTCATAGCAGCACCTGGCCTGGTCGAAGCTGAATATGATTGCATGTTCCAGTGTTCGCATTGCGAGTCGCGCAAGCACTGTTATATGCACTGTCAGAACCATTCGTGTTATGTGCGTGACACGATCAAGCGCATGGATCTGCGGCTGCGCATACACTTTGTGGCGGGACACATCGACTACATCAACAGGTGAGACTTGTGCTATGAAGAGAATCCGTTATCCACTAGAAACCACCACTAATCTACGGCAGAGAGCGCAAATATGTGAAGATCAATCAGACCTGCGACGTGCACTACGATACTTTGCTGCTCATGAACTACAAATTCTTCAGTCTAACTATCCAAGGCTTGCATCTTTCCGTGGTGCCATGCAATTTCATTGAGATCAACAGTCGCCTGGATAAGTTCCTGCTGTTCTATAAGCTGCGCGTGTTGAATGAGGACCGGAAGCGTCAGTACAAAATCATCGTGTATGGCACCAACTTGAGTACCTATGAAGGCATCGAGTTTCTCATGTCCCATGGCGTTGCCCCGGAGCGCATTGTGCTCGTTCAGCCCAAAGTAAAAATTGGCACCGAGGAGGAGCAGAAACTGAATTGTCCCTATGTTGATCAGAATCTGCAATATTTACTCGACGAAATGCTGGAGGATCTGGGCATCGTCATACACAGAGATCTCACTCTGACCCACTGGGAAACGAATGATATGAAAGACTACATCATTGAAGCGATCTTCACCAGCTTCAAGTTCAATAAAACAGTTACATTCGATTGTGATCTATTTATATCGTTCAAGGACGGCTACATGGATTTTGCGACTCTGCATTGTAAGTATATATGTATATATATATAAATAATTGCTTATACGTTCCGATGTAGCGCTGAAGAAATCGAAAATCACAGTGAAAGATGGTATGGTAGTGGTTAATAAGAACTTTCAGACAAACGATCCAAATATCTACGCTGCCGGCAGGTTTATCAAGATGATTGATAATATCAATCATCAGTATCAGTACACAAACGCGATGGAGACTGCGAAAAAGGTTTGAGGGCTTGATTGATTGATTGATTGACAGGCTCAAAGTCGGAATTAAATACCTCTTTGTTCTGATCTCCCATTAGCTTATGCACATACTGCATATATCCCCAAGCGATCTGAATTTCGAATACAAGTACTCTCAGTGCACGTTCTTTACGGCTTTGCTGCCCCTCGATTACTACATCACGAAGCTGACGATGCCGCGTCGTTATATGGCCAGCTTTGTAAACATTCCCTGCCAGAAATGCACTATGACTACCTATAATGAAGATAGCACCTTCTGTCGCATTGGACTCAATCACAAGATGATCGTGGATGAGATTGTCATAGTTACGAAACATGTGAGCCTCCTTCTGATCTTGATGCTGATCTTGATCCTGCGCCTCCTCATACGCTTCGATAGCATAACTATTTCGTGTTGATTCTTCCCTTTGCAGCCGATAGTTCTTGACTTTCTGGAGCATTTCTGTGGCAAGCACGAGACGCTGTTGAACAATTTGAAGGCTCGCTATGTCGCCGGCTCCATCAAGTGTTTTCTGCAGTTTCTACAGGAGCCCTGGACGGAGCTGTTGACCCATGTGAATTTCGAAGAATATCAAGCCGAGAATCATAAGATACTTATGCCTATGCTACAAAATATGAGTAGGGTAAGTAAAAACTAAATGCAATTTCGGTAGTTAAAATAAGCTAAAGCAGCTCTAGGTTTAAGACTATAAGTATATTTTTTCGAAGGATTTCGTGAAAATCCAATTCTATAAAAAGATATGATACATCTTTTAATTTTTTCCCGAATCCTTACCATATTCTGAATCTCAAGATTGGGCTTCTAATGTGTGATAATATTTATCTAATTCCAGGGCCCCTCAAATCAATTGCGAGAGTTTAATCAACATATACTGGAACAAAATCTCTTGGATTTCATAAGAAAGCACCGCCAGGACTTTTGTAACGAATTTGCTCTACCTGAGGACTACTGCGCTGAGGACACTTCGGGCGGCAATTGCAAACACGTTGGTCCGAGTCCCGATTATAAATTTTAGATGTGAACAAATACAATCGAAACTGAGTAGTTGAATGAGATTCCACTCATACAATACAATACAAAGAAWTACGAACACATATGTATTACATTTATATACTATAGTATATGCATATATATAGCTATAATATATATAATGGCGGAATTGGAAGAGTATGTGATACGCACGGCTAGCGTATTTGATCTAGATATTATTGGAACACTTTTTAACAATGATTACACCAGCCATTTTGGAGAGAAGCTAGACGCGCCCCTTTCTCAACTATTCGTCGAATATCAAACACATCGTTTTGTCGTTTTCGAAGAGAAATCGCCAAAAGTGCTATTGGCCTACTGTGAGTTCTGTATATATCCCAATATACCGGTGCTGTCCAACGATTTCTGGCCGCAATGGTTAAAGTGCCGTTTCTGGTAAGATCTCTTAAATAAGGAAAAAAAGAAGAATGAAATACTATAATAAATATAATTGATTTGCATTCCTCACAGTATCGATGTGCCCCTTTCGCTTATGAATACAATGTTCTTTAATTATTATATATATGTTCGGGAGCATGTCGAGATATTGAAACAGGTCATCATGGAGGTGTTTTACTGTGAGCACAAGATCAACTATTTGATCATAGCCAGGCCACCGAACTATTCAGCCAAGGAGTACGATCTGCTGGAGGACTTTGGTAAGGTCTACTATCCAAACACCTTTAATATGTACGGATGCAGGAATTTGCCCACAATTATCGTCATATCGCGCAATGACTTTATGCCAGTCATCAACTTTCGCAAGGCCCTGTAAGTAGCTAACCTAATCTAATCTCTGAGTTGCTGTAATCCCGGAGTCGGATCGATCTGCAGGCCTGAGGACAATGATGACGTCATCGAAATGATCGACGTTGAGGAGCCACATATGCGTAAGCAGTATGGAGATTATTATATAGCCGAGATTCTATTGGGCACGTCGGGCGGCAATATGGAGAATGATAAAATTATTGTAACAGAGGTAAAAGCGCCATCTATTGAAATCATATTGCATGGAGAGCTGAAGGGCCAGCTGAAGCGGATATTCTCCTAAGTTGGCTCTCAATACATTCTCAATGGTTTCTCTTTCAGGATAGCGGTCCTTCAGCTATTGGCAGTACGGGCATGATGTGGCTAACGGATGACACGGACATTGAACAGTTGATTAAGAATTTTGATTTGGAGAGTTTGGGCAATCTGGTTACTTGTACGCCCGATGCACCGCATGCCACGGTTCAGTTTGAAGTCTTGTAAGCCAATAGAATATATCGAATTAGTAATTCGTTCACTTAGAATCCATTCGTATGGTCATATGCAGCACGGCGGACCAGCGACAATATTTTAATCTGAAGAAAAAGACGTATTTCGGGAAAAGAGAGATGGTGCAATTAAAAGGAAGTAATGAAGAACCGGATAGGGAGTGCTTAAATACACAGGAACTCTATACGAAATTCAATTTCATACGCTACGGTAAGGTCGAACTGAATGTGAGCCATAAATTTAAGCCCCGACCCTTGCAGAGCTCCACAATAGCAGCAACTATTTGGACAAAAGACTCAAAACATTGAAGGTATCATACGATATACCCGCGCGCCTGCCGAAATTCAAGAAGTACACACTGAAAAATGCCTCCAGGGCGTTCGTCTTGAAGAACTTCATACTACATCCCAGTCTGCGTTTGGAGTACACCTATTACTACCTCTGCGCCATGTTCAGCGCGTATCCAGATCGCGACTACTGTCTGGTGCCCATTCCACCAGGTGCCAAGTACTCGGTTAGCCTTTGGGCACTACTCAAGTACTTTATAGTGAGTTGACTTTCGGCTTGGGAAATACCTTCGCCTCTATCTATTTCTCTATCTCCCTCCCTCCCTCTCTCGCTCTCTCTTTCTCTCACCCTTTCTTGATGTAGCGCGTTCAACACCGACCCAGTTGCAATGTGTCGGACGACGTCTTTGTCGCCCATCGTTCTTCGATATATACTGAGCTAAGTATTTTTCGACTCGTTAAGGAGGATCTCGATGATATTTACAGCTTATTCACATCGGGCAGTAAAATAAAGCCAGAACCGGGGGACCGCCGGTCGTTCAGGCAGTCGCATGGCCGGATGAAGAAAAGCATCCAATTGAAGATTATCAAACAGATTTGCTCCGATGTCTTGTACAATCAAATGTCGGAGTTTAGCTTTTGGGTTATACGTTGTGGCCATACGAATAGGGCGAATACCACCGCCGTTGGCTTTGCTATTTTACGGTGAGTGGGCGTGGCATTTGACTTCTAATCACAAAATGAAGAATTCGCTCGTTTGGTTTAGTCCCTTTTCGGATTATGAGGCAGTTTATAAACAGTTTCTGTTGCCCCACGATGAGGGCTTTTTGACGTTTGATCGCGGCGAGCTGGTGATGCTGTGCCTCCATCCCTACTTCCATATGTGGTCGGATGAGGTGCTGCGCACGGTGGCCGTACGATCCGGCTTTCGGGATATTTTCTACTTTCAGGAAATTAAGGGCGACGCCATGACCAACGACTTGGCCAGCAAGATGATGCCCGTGGAGCCGCGACGAATGCGTCGCAATTGGTTCATTGATACTAGGGCCAAGGAATGCTATCGGCGTGCCTCGGATCAGGTGGATCTGTCGAAAATCAACTGCGTCATGGATGAGTTCTATCTGTTCCGTCACAACTTATTCCCCTCCAAATACATGGGCAATAAAAATTCGCTGGTCATCATCGGCTTCTCGGACATCTGCAAGGCCTTTCTGCGTCTCATGGTCTTCAGCTGGAATACGCCCGAGTACAAACTGCATTTGATTTGTGAATCTCTCTCTCTGATTTTCTCCCGGCCTTAGCTACAAATACGTGAGTGTTAGCAATTGTCTGCCCCTGTTGGATATCACGGTGATTGTGGGTCATGGCGAAGTCGAGGCGGAGTACGATCAGACAGTCCAGTGCGAGTACTGCGTTACTCCCAACGAATGCTATTTGCACAGTGCGAACACCTGTCCCTTCGTCATGGACACCACTCAGCGGCTGGACATGCGTAACTACATTAACTTTGTCCCCGGCGAAGTGGAATCAATTAAGCGGTATATATTAGTTTTCTCTAAATATTTAAATAAATATATTACGTATTCGCTCTATTCTATTCTATTCAGTCAAGAGAAGTATATCGCTCTGGAGAGCTACTGCAAAGTCTTTTACGATAAGCTGCTGTTGCTGTGCGACACGAAGTTCGGATTCCCTGTGCAATCTGGAGGTACTGGAGGCACCGGCCTGCCCGAGAACTATATGACAATCAATAGACGGCTGGATAAGATTGAGCTCTATCACAAACTGATGGAGTTCAACAAGACCAATTTGCAGGACAAATGCATTATCGTCTATGGCCACAATTTGGCCGTCTACGAGTGCATTGATTTTCTGCTGAGGCACGGCTGTTTGTCCTCGCAGATTGTGTTTGTGGAGCCGCACAAGATGGTGCAGCCGGAGTATATCAATAATCCCACATGTGACAGCAATTTGGAAAATATCCTGATGGATATGGTCATCGATCTGGGCGTTACCGTCCATGAGTCGGCGAATTTCGAAAAGTTCCATTGCTATGCTACGGCTAACTTTATAGAGAAAGTCGAGTTCAAGCGCTTTCCCAGCAAATCACAATTGCTTGTGCCCTGCCACCTGTTCATCAACTTCACGGAGAATTTCCTGCCAGTTGCATTTGAGCGAGGTGAGTTAGCACAGTAATAGTTGGAGTTTTGGGTAAAAACTTGAAGTCTACTTTCAGTGCTAGAAGGGAGCAATATTCAGTTGCACGATCGCAAAATTGTAATCGATGAGGATTATAGGACAAATGATGATTCAATTTATGCGGCTGGCAACAGTGTCGTCTATCTGTGGAATATCTTTCATCAGTATATATACACCAGCGAACGTGAGATGGCTCAAAAGGTGGCCAACACTGTTTTGCAATAATATCTCTTGATTTGCTATATCCGTTCGACTCACAGCTAATGGACATTTTGAAGCTGGGCAAGGAGACGCTTACCAGGGAGAAAAAGTTTTCCAAACCCTGTCTATTTCACGCTCAACTGCCGGAAAATCACAAGATTATCAAAGTGACGATACCCAAGCGTTATCTCTTAGCCACTCTGCCCAACGAGTACAGCCACTTCATGTGCACCTATGACGGCGACTTTTGTCGTGTGCGATTGAATCGCAAATTATTTGTCGAGGAAATCGTGTGTGTGACACGCAAGGTAAACAGGATCAAATACATATATACATACATACATACATACCTATATATATCTATCAATTTACAGCTATCGCGACCTCTATTCTTTCTGGAGTTTTTCTGTGGGCGACATGTGACGCTGCTGAATAATGTGCACAATCGCTGGAAAGCGGGTTTGATTAAAAGTTTTATAAACTTTTTCCAGGAACCATGGACAGAGTATATAATGCATGACCGCTTCGATGAGTTGCAGATGAAAAATCATGATACTCTCAAGTCGCTGTACCAGCACATAGCCTCACGTGCCTTGGGCATGAATATTGGTGATTCCGATTTCAGTGAGGCGGGCAAACATTTTCTGGAAGCGAATCTTCTCAAATTTCTGCGCGAATTCCGCGAAGAGTTTGTCAATCAATTTGCCCTGCCGGAGGATTGGACTTCGTAGATGGTTTATTCAATTTTTTTGATATATCGAGGTTTCAGTCGGGCAGTTTTTTAGCTTCTCTTCAAGGTTCATTGTGGTGTGTAAATTTGTATAATTCAGAAGAATCATATTTTATTTCATAGGTATTCTAGCCTAAATATACGAAAGGTACAGTTTTATTGATCGTTTGTGAATTTTAGGATCTGCAGATGGTTAATTTAAAAATATATAAAGAAATTTTAAAATGCGCCGGTTAGATATGCAACAAAATTGGTATCTATATATAATATGCACAGAACTATTGCATACTTTTGTGCTGAAAATGTTATTCTATTAATGTCGATTTTTGCTGTCGTCACTTTCCAAAGTATGGGAGAGACTTATTGCCAATCGACTTGGCAATATCATCAGTGAACGTCATATCTTACCGGACCATCAGTTTGGCTTTAGARAAGGACACGGAACTRTGGAGCAGGTTCACCGGTTGACGAGGCACATCCTTCAGGCATTTGATGACATGGAATACTGCAACGCAGTTTTTGTCGATATGCAGCAAGCATTTGATAGGGTCTGGCATACAGGGCTTCTCAGCAAAATCAAAAACCTCTTCCCAGCACCTTACTTCGGGATTCTACGATCGTATCTGGAGGGTCGGCAATTTATTGTCAGAGTACGGAACACATACTCGACTCCTTGCCAAATGAGAGCTGGAGTTCCTCAGGGCAGCGTATTAGGGCCGCTGCTTTACTCCATTTACACGGCCGACCTACCCTCCCCTAGCGTGCGCCACATGGAGAATCCTGGCAAAGCCCTTCTCGCTACTTACGCAGACGATATAGCGGTGCTCTACAGCTCNATTATTTGTTATTAGTTATAATTTCAATGTCTGCCGCTGCGCTATAGAGTTTACGACAAAAGCTGCAATAATAAACTATATTATAAAAAAAAAAAAAATACAGAGAATTAAAAAAATAACTTGTATTATTTAATTTATTTAAAATTTGCAGCTTTAAAAGTCGTGCAACAGCTTTTTCGCAAGCATGGCCCCAGCTAACATAACGTTTAGCCGTGAATTTTGGTTGGAGATTTTAGTGAAATACCAGGCGAACAGGAATGTGCAGTAGGATGCTGTTCAAGAAAATAAATATTTGCAGTGCATAGTTTTGTGCTCAACATTTATTTTCCATTGATTATTTTCATGGCATACTTTCGTGCGCAGAAATTTATTTTCAGTTCACTATTTTCATTGCATACTTTTGTGCTTCTACAAATTTGCAACCAACAAACTTTAAGAGGCATTGAAATAAAAACTCAATATTACGTTTCGTTAGTATATATATTATTTATTTTATTTGTATAGGTTATTACACATTTGGATCAAATTGGTGCAATAATAACATTGTATTACATATGTATTAGGTAATGTCTAAAACTATAAGAACAGAAAGCTATTTATCGTAGCGCCAAAGCCATTGTGCCCTTTAGCCCAGGCTTCTTCCCATTTTCTTGTTTTCTTGTTTTAGCCTAATCGTAATCGATTCGTTTCGTTCGGTTTTAAAACTTAACTAGTTAGTACTCGTAACATATTTGTATATGCAGATATATATATATCTATACATATATATAAATTGGTTGATCTGCGCGATCTAGATTTTTAGCTAGTTGTATATACCCCACATATAAACTATGAATACATATATAAATATATATATATTATTTTTGTGGCATTCGCTAGAGCGGCACACAGGCGTCGCGACGTGACACCTGCTGGTTACGCTGATACGTTAAAGCTGCCGGCTGATAGCGTATGGACGGGCTTAGGCCACTGGGGAAGACGATGATGGGATGGTTGATCTGGCCTCATATGCCCTGTAAGTACCTTCGTAACTCCTCCTCAGTGTCGAAGATCATGACGGGGAACGGCGAGCCGGGCACAAATTCGCCGGCCCATTTCACTTCGACACGATAGTCACCCGGTTCCGTTGGATCGTACTGGAAAAGGTATGAATATTATTTAAAATTTAAATAATTGGAAAAACTTCGTTTGCTTACCTTGCATAAAATGGTGCGATCCTTTTGGCTCTCGCGCTGCATTTCCACGCGGAAGGCGCCCTTGGGTCCGCGCACGCGCACCGTCAGCTGGCCAGCGCCTGCGCCGCGTGTGTCGCAAATGAAGCGCGACTGGAAGGTGGCCAGAACGCCGTGCTCAATGCCAGGTCCATAGACGCGTACCTGTCGGAGAGTAAATATCGATAATCAATAACTGATGCTCCGCCTTAAGCCAGCTCTGAGCTCACCTTGCTGGCATCGGGAGCGCCCGCCACTTTAAGCGCAAAGGGAGAGCCCGGCACATTCTGTCCGCCGTATTTGATGGTCAGCAGATGGCGACCCGGCTCTTGTGGCTTGATGTTCAGCGTAAAGGTGGCATCGCCATGATCGTACAGCTCGCAGTAGGCCACCTTGCGTGGGCCGGCGCAGTGGGCGGTCAGCTCACCTGGGCCAGCGCGTCGCGTGTCTATCCAGGACTTGATGTCCTTGCCAACGATGCCGTGGCGCAGACCCTCGCCAGATGCAATCACCTTGGAGGCGTCCATCGACGAGCCAACGGCCACGGTCAGCGGACAGCCCTTGACCAGGCGTCCGTTCCACTTTACCGAGAGCGTCAGCGTGCCCGTCATGGACTTCTGCGGCGTATACGAGGCCAGCCAGATATTTTCGCTGGGTCGCGGCTGGGCCAGACTGACGGGCAGTGCCGTATTATCTTGGGTAATCAATATAACCTCCGGTCGACCGGCTGGCGCATTCGATGCATCGATGGTGAAGTGAGCAGCCTCGCCAGCTTGGGCGGCAGCCAGGCCACGACCCATCAGGACCACCTTGTCAGCGGCTTGCTGGCCGGTGACAAAGGCGCTGCGCGGGCACTGCGTGATGGTCAGGCCAGACCAGGTCAGGTCCAAGTCATGCTCACCGGCGGCCAAGTTGTCGCCAGTGATGTTGAGACACATCTTGCCATCGGCCAGCTTGTCCACGGGTATCTCGATGCCGTCGATGCTGCAGACCAGCTTGCCGGGTCCGGCATTCTCCACATCGAAGATGATGCGTGCCGGCAGTATCAAGCGTCCGTCGTGATCCACCAGCGTGCCCCAGCCACCGACTGGCGTTACCTTTGTCGACTCCACGCAGCTGACGCGCCACGGCGACCCGGGCAGGCTGCCGCGATTGGGGCAGCTGGCGCGGATCTCGTAGGTGCCCACGGACAGGATGACATAGGAGATGCGCCATTCGTTGTTGCCCAGCGCCTTGATCTTGGGCTCGATGCGCTCGCCAAACTCGTCGATGCGCTCGATCTGCACATTGGGCGCAATGGGGCAGTAGACCACGAAGGAGGCCTCCTTGTTGCGATGGCACACCTCCAGGCCGTGGCCCGCAGCGCGTGCATCATTGCGCACGCCACTGGAGGAGGCGCTAAAGGTGAGCGGGGAGCTGGGAATCGTTTCGCCGCCGTACATTAGAGTTAGCTTATAGTTGCCTGGCTGGGAGGGCACAAATTCGACATTGTAAATGCCCTCGGATTGCTCGGTAATGTGCACGGGCAGGCTCTGGTTGGTGGGCGAGATGGCAAAGGCTTCCAGCTCGGCTGTGCCGGCGCTGTCGGTGCGCACGGTAAAGCTGTTGGCGGTATGCAGTGCCAGCGGCTCCTTGCTGACGCCCTGCACGCTCACCTTGCTGCTGTCGAAGGCCTCGCAGGTGAATGGGCTGCCCGGCAGCGGCTTCGACTGATGCAGCACCTCTGCAAAGTAAGAGGATTAGAGGCGAGAAAGAAGAGGCAACTGTATTGAACCCACCTATGACGCATTGGCCCGGCTTGTTGATGCTGAACTCTGCCTGCAGGTGTCCGTTCTTCGTCTGGTAGCAACGCACGGGCAGCGCCTGGCCGCCGGGCCCGGAGACAACCACATCGAATTCGCGTGCCGGCCGCTTCACGGTGTCGATGGCAAACGATGTGGTCTTGCCCACGCGTGCCTGATACAGGCCTAAGCCACTGACGCTGATCTCCTTGCCGGCGCTGGCGGGCAGCACGTTAATCTCCAGTGGCTTCAGCGAAATGGGCACGTCGTTGAACAGAATGCTAATCTTGTGCGGAGCGACCCGCGTCGGCTGATAGACGATCTCGTAGACGCCCGACTTGCTCGGGCCGCGTATGGTGTGCGGCACTTCGGTGACGCCACAGCGCACCAGGGCGGACAGGTCACCCTGCCCAGCCTCGTTGAGGGAGACGCTGATGCTGGCCGGACGATGGCAGATGGCCTCGCCCACCTCGGTGATCTTCACCAGCATCGGATCGAAGGCGCACAAGGTGCGTGTGCCGATGTGCTGTCGGGTCTCCCGATCGATGAACCTCAGCGTGTAGTTGCCCGTCGAGTGAGTCCGGAACTCCGCCGTCTGACGATTGATGGTGTAGGGCACGGGCTTCTGGTCGGGCGCCAGTATCTCCACGATCTGGTCATCGGCTGGAAAATCGATGGCGGCCAAGCTGCCGATCTGTATGTGCTGTGTGTGCTGCTGTATGTCCACACGGAAGGGGCTGCCGTCGACGGCCACCTCGTTGAAGGTGATGTTGACGTAATGCGGCTCGGTGCTCTGCGGCACAAAGGTGACATCGTAGAGGCCACGGGCGCAGGCCACCACCTCGGCTTTGACGGTGCTGCTGTCCGTGGAGACGACCAGCTCCAGGGTGCCCTCGCCGGCTCCTGCTGCATCCACACTGAAGGTAACTGGCACGCCCAGTGTGGCCGGGCCATATTGCTGCTCCAGGCCGCTGATGCTCACGCGCGAGACGTCAAACACATTGCAGCTGAATGGCGATCCATTGATATGCTGATCGTTGGCCAGCACACTGATCAGATGGCGACCCACGGTGCTGGGCCGGAAGGAGGCGCTGTAGCTGCCGCCGTCGTGCTGGCTCAGCTGGCAGTGCTCGTTGTCGCCGGCGGGCGAGGTGACAAATATCTGTGGCTCGATGCCCTCGAAGCCCTCCAGCTCAAATGTGTTGTCCATCTTGACGGCCGCCTGCTTCAGGCACTCGCCCATCGCCTGGGCACGTGGAGCGCCCTGCGAGCTAGCCGGGGCGGCTGCAATGTGGCAGCTGAACGGTGAGCCGGGCACCGGATGACCATTGAAGCGCACCGAGAGCGAGTGGGTCGCCGCCTCAGTGGGCTTGAAGTTGACCTTGAAGCGGGCATTGCCCTCGGATTGCACAAAGTTCGGCACATTCTTGCCATTGACGGCGACGATGATCTCCAAGTTGCCGGCGCCCGCCTGGGAGGCATTGATGCCGAAGCTGACGCTCTTGTTGACCACGCCGGGCCGTATGTCCGTCACGATGACCTTCTCGGCCGAGTAGGCCTTCAGCAGGAAGGGGCTACCCTCCACGTGACCGCCGCCGGGCAGGCGCACCTCCACCGAGTGATCGCCCACCTCCATGGGCTCGAACTTGACATTGTAGCCCAGTCCGGAGCCAAGTGGATCGATCTTTACGGGCACACTGCGTCTGGCCGGGCCCAGCACCTCCACGGTTGGCTTCGTGTCCGACTCGACGACAAACTCAAAGAGTCGCCCCACGCTCACCTTGTCCATGGACTCGGGCGACTGAATGCGCGCAGCAGCCGCAACCCGGCAAGTGAACGGGGATCCGGGCACATCCTGGCTATTGAAACGCAGCTCCACCGTGTGACTCTCGGCCTCGCGTGGCGTAAAGCTAATCGCATAGGTGTGCTGGCCTTGCGCCTGGGCCGAGGTGGGCACACGTCCGCCATTAACGGTGACTTCCAGATTGCCGGGACCAGCCTGTGAGGTTTCCACCAGGAACGTAACAGGCTTACCCACCGTGCCACTGCTCACATTCTTCACCTTGATGGCGCTGACATCGTAGACCTGACATTAGAGAGAGGTTACTATCTGGGATACAATGGGGATCTATGGGAAGCCAGCTGGATCCCTTAGGGAAGGCACTATACCAGCTCAAGGAATATAGATGAAGGAGTCGACTTACCTTAGCTGCATATGGACTGCCAGCTGTGGGCAAACCGTTGATAGTGACATTGACGCGATGTTCGCCGACAACGCGCGGCACAAACTCGGCCTTGAAGACACCTTCGGCTGATTGATGCACCTGTGCGGGCACTGATTGACCGGCGGGACCTGAGATTTTGCCCCGATTTTGCATAGCATTTTGTTTTCGTTTTTTTTTTTTTGTTTTTTTTTTTTTTTTATATATATATTTGATTTTGTTTTTGATTGTTTTTTAGTATTATTAGAAGTTTAAGATTGATTTGTTTTGATTAAATAAAATTCGATTGCGACGCGTCCGGAAATGAGTTTTGAGAGGGTTTCAATTGTTTTTGTTTTTGTTTGGTTTTGTTGAAATTCAAATATAGAGCATGTTGTAGTTGTTGTTTGTTTGTTTGTTGTGTGGTATGGTTAGTGGTATTTTTTGTCGGTATATTTTGGTATTTTTGGTTTTGCGCAATTGGTAAAAAATTTGGAAAAATTTTGACTCAGATTAGTAACGATTCGGCATTAGGTTTTGGATTTGTTTGTAAAGTGCTTAATGTGAATGCTGACCAACGGTGTGGTTAATTGGGGTGGGAGGGGTTGGTGGGGCGGTCACAGGGGTAGGGGTGATATTTTATTGGTGTTGTAATCGTTGTAGTGTGTGGTTAGGTTAGTGTTGTTGTTGTTGTTAATGTTGTGTTGTTGTTGTTGTTGCAAGTGTTGCTTTAGTCTTGTATTGTAGTGTATTTAAAACCGCGAACGTGCCAGAAACAGTTAGTAACTGAGATGTTTTTCGGTGTAAGAGAGACAGACAGAAAGGGAGAGAGAGAGAGAGGGAGACAGTGCAGCTAACAGACATATATATATAAATATTTATATTAGTTATAGACTAGTTACTATCATATATAGTTTATATACAATACTGAAAATGTCTGGCCTGGTCATCTTCATCATATATAATACCAATACACAATCCTATAAATCTCATGTTTGTAAAACATTTATTGTTTTTCTTTCATTATTTGATCGAACAAATTAGTAAACAAAAGGAAATTAGTTGATACAAAAAAATAATATATATATAGAAAAAATCGAGTACTTTGTTGTTTAGTGTATAGTATAGAGTATAGTGGGTATAGTTGATGCTCTGGTGGTTGCTGTTGTAGCTGTTGTTGTGGCTCTTTCACATGTGGTTGGTACAGTAGTACATCGCTTGGTAGACACGCAGCTTAGTTATATTATTATTATTATTTCTTCTCAATTATAAGGGACTGTTAGACGGAATGTATATATAACGAGTAAAATATAAGAAACTAGTATATACATATATATAGAGAGAGAGAGAGAGTGAGAAAGACAGAAAGTACTCATATATAAAGTTATATATATATATACACATATATATATATATAAAGGTAAGTATAATCATATTTATAGAGTCTAGTACAAAAGTTTTCGCCGTCCTGAAATATAATACAGATATAAAAGTGAGCAAATTATTACAAATTAAAGGGCGTAAGATTACAAACAAAAAAACATAAGGCACAGCTAAATACATGGCACAGACACACACATAGATAAACAAACACACACACACATACACATGTGTGTACATATATACAATACGATTAAAAAGTAATTATATTGAAAGTGCTGCTATACTACAGTGGCATCAATTACATGGCAAACATACATATTTAAATTTACACACACACACACACACACAGGCATACAGACACATATAGGGCCACACATTTGCGGTTTTGGCATAATCCGAAATTTGTAAAGCCCAGCTTTGAGCTGTACGTCCGATGCACAGATGCGTTAAAGCCTAAACGTTGCAAATACCCCAAATGATAAATATGACGCATAATTACATATACTAAATGAGCACCACAAACACACACACACACACACACACACATACACATAGATAACCGCTGGCTAAGTGTTGGGGCTGCCGCATAAGTTCACAAAGCTATTGTCAAGTGTGCTGCGTGTGAAGCAGAAATGGAAATAGAGCTATGAATAGGGTGTGTGTGTGTGTGAGAGAGAGAGAGAGAGAGAGAGAGAGAGAGAGAGAGAGCAGGAAAGTTGTTACAATTGACTGTGGCAGGCGGGTGGTGTGGGCGTGGCTGGGTGCTGGCATGCTTACAAGTTTCAACAACAATTTCCGTCGATTGTCTTGAAGAAGTGTGGAAAAAAAGTATTTTTCTTGCCCGATGTCAACACGGATAAGATGCTGGCTAAAGATACAGAGATACATAAAGAGATGTGTATGTATATGCGTATGCGTATGCGTATGTGTGTGTGTGTGTGTGTGTGTGGCTGTGTGTGTCAAGTACACTTTCTCACACACTCACACAGATAATTAACATTTAACGAGCAATTTAATTACAATTACGAATAACTTAAACCAATATCGAAAATCGAAAATGCAAAATGCAAAATGTAAAATCAAAACCACACGCAAACAAAATAATGAAGGCGAGAAGGCATTGGAACGAGGGTACAGTACGGGAGTGGGTTGGTTGGGGCAGAGGGAGAGGGAGAGAGATAGAGAGCGCTAGAGTGCAGTATCCATAGATGAATACGCCGTGTGCTGTGGGTGTTAGTGTTAGAGCGAGCGAGCGAGCGAGCCACTGCACGCGTTCAGCCGGCCAGCCTTGGGCTCGGCTAACATACCTTCGACGTTGACCTCAATGTCTTCCAAACGGCCGCCATTGTGATTGATAACAAAAGAATTGGTCTGATGGACGGGTCCGGGTCCGCCAAGGGACACCTGAGGCCCGGCTACGCCGCCGCTAATGCCAACGGTTATGGGGCAGCCGGGCACAGGCATTTTATTAAAGGAGACATTAATTGTGTGCTCGCACGACTCTGTCGGCACAAACGAAACGGAGAATCTGCAGAGAGAACGAGAGGGAGTGGGAGAGGGAGAGCGAGAGAGTATAAGTAAGAGTTATGGACTGGCTAACTGCAAATGTGGCTCACCTTGCACTGCCCTGCGGATGCACCTGTGTGGGTATATTCTGACCCTTGGCCGATATGGTTATCTCCAGATTGCCCTCGCCAGCATCGCCGGCATCCACCGTGAACTGCACGGGTCGGCCCATGGTGCCACGCGAGACGCTACCAACGACCACTTTGCTGGCGTCATATGACTTGGCCAGGAACGGTGTGCCCTGCACGGCGAAGCCATTGTACTCCACATTGATGGAATGCCCGCCCACGCTGGTGGGCGTGAACTCGGCCGTGAAGCCGGCGTGAATATCGCCGGTGACACGAACGGGCAGCTCTCCGTGCGGGCCACGAACGCTGACGGCCAGCTCGGCGGCACCGCCGCCGCTCACTGTGATGTGAAAGGAGGAGGGCCGGTTGACGGGTATCAGCTCCAGATTGGACAGATTGAGCAGGACGCGCGAGGTGTCCGCCACGGCGCAGACGAAGGGGCAGCCGCGCACCGTCTCGCCGTTGAACTTGATGTCGATCAGATGGGATTTGGCCTGTTCGGGCGTGAAGGAGACGAGACAACGGCCGCCCCCAACGACCTGGACATGATTGGGCACCTCGCCCTCATTGATGGATATCTCCAGCTGTCCCTCACCAGCCGCACTCGCGTCCACACGGAACTGGCATGGCTGGCCGACCACGCCGCCGTTCACTTCGGTCACTTGGATCAGGCTGGCATCGTAGACCTTTGCTATCAAAGGGCCGCCAGCGATCTTCGTGCCATTGATGGACGCATCAATGATGTGCGTGCCCACCTCGGTGGGCACGAACTCAATGCGTGCAGCACCATTTGCCGCCTCATGGGTGACTCTGGCATTCAGCTTTGACTTGTTTGGGGTCAAGACCGTTGCCACGCACTCGCCCTTGCTCAGGCTTTGTCCAGGAGGCGGCAGTATCTCAAAAACCGCCGGCGTATTGGCGGGCACAAGGCGCGTGGATTCGCCCAGAGCGGTTAGGCCGGGTGACGACATGATCTCAGCGTGCCACGGTGAACCTGCAATCACAATGCAAACGAGCAGATTATCAGTAAAGCGTACAGAACGTAGATTCAAGATAAACATTAATATGCATTCCATTACGATATAAATCTATGTTATTTGAGCCTGGCCTGGGCTGGCCGGGCTGGCATGGCCCAGCCCATTGGGCAAATTATTTGACCCAAAAAGCAACTTTATGCTGCGACAGCACAGGTAATTGAGATGTTGACTAAGCCAAGAGACAGCGATATCAAATAGCTGCTTGTAAAAGGTAGCGCGAGGGCTGATCGATAAGTTTGCAAAGTTATTTGTAGTAAATATAAAAGATTTTCTGCTTTAATGTATTCTAATAATAATGAAAAATATAATA